AAATCATTTTAATTATCCCATGACAATAAAAACATCATATTTAAGTTCTACATTCACAAAAGAGGTAAAAACTTAAGGGCTTCCAGATAGAAATATTATTTTAAAAACATTTTTTTGGCTTATACTAAAAGCCATATAGGAATCTGGAAAACTTCTAATGAGTTCTCACTTTGTGCTGGACTTGGAGTCAGAAAGATCTGAGTTAAAATCCTCCTTTAGGCACTAAGCTATTTAGCTGCATAAACTGGGCTAGCTTAATCTTTCAGCCTCAGTTTCTTCCTGTGTAAAATGGATATAATAGCATTACCTCACAGGGTTGTTGTGAAGATCAAATGAGATAATACATTAAAAAATCCTTTTTACCAAGATATGTAAATGATAAGTATATGTAAGACTAATAACCATTCTCCAATAGATAAGTGGTCAAAGGATATGAACAAGCAGTTCTCATAAGTAGAATAGGAAAGTATTTACAACCACATGGAAGAATGCTCCAAATCACGAATAATAAGAGAAATGCAAAGCAAAACAATTCTGGGGTTTCACCTCCCACCCTGCAAATTGGCAAAGAAGACAAAAAATGGCAATAGTTAATATTGGAGGGATCATGGAATGACAGGCACACTAATACATCGTTGGTGGAACTGTGAAATGGTACAAACATTTTGGTAAGCAATTTGGAAAAAAGTGACTAAAATGTCTACCCTTTGAGCCAGAGACTCCACTACAGGGCCCATACCTCAAAGAAGCCATCAATAAGGAAGAAAAAAAAAGTCCCCATATGCTCCAAAATATTTATAGCATATCTTTTTGTGATAGCAAAGAACTGGAAACAAAGTAGATGTCCATCAACCGAAGAATGACTAAATAAATTATGACACAAGAATGTAATGGAATACTACCACTCTATAAGAAATCATTATGTGTAATGAATACAGAGAGGCATGAAAAGATCTATACGAACTGATGCAGAGTGAAGTAAGCAGAGCCAAGAAAGCAAGATACAATGACTATAACAATGTAAACAGAAAGAACAATGTCACACCAAAAAATAAAAAGTGAATGCAACAAATCAAAAATGACTTAAATGAAGGGAGATGAGGGGACACCCCCAACCCAACCTTTCATAGAGATGGGATGTCCACAAGTGTTACACAGTGCATATATTTCAGACTTTTTCTCACATCAATCAATTATGCTGACTTTTTTTCCCTCTTAAAAAAAAAATATTTGTTATATGGAATGGCACTCTGGAAGGGTTAGGGATAGGGATTTTTGGGATAACTACGATGATGTACAAAACAGAAGACATTAATAAAATCTTATTTTAAAAGAAGACAACAACAAAAAAACCCCTTTACAAACCTTAAAGCCTATATAAATTCAACCTATTATTATAACCTGTTGTGACTACCTAAGTATGCTACAGATAATTTCCCTAGCCTAGAAGATGCAAAAAAAAACAAAAAAAAAAAAAAAATTTGAGAAGTTACTTAATTTCACTGGCCTCAGCTTCTTTATCTGTAAAAAGGGAGGATTAGACAAGGTGACCCTCAAATTTCCTTCCCCCTGTTTCCTTCCAACATTATTTGATTTTGACATCAAATTACTTTCCTAATTTACTTTTACTTGACAATAAATCACCTCACAATTATTTTCCTAAATTAGGGAAGGGAGAAAAGAAAGAGAGTAGGAGATTAGGAGAATGAGTAGGGAGAAGAAGTGAAAAAGGCTTTATACAAGTGATAAAGGGGCAGCTAGGTGGCGCAGTGGATAGAGCACTAGTTCTGAAGTCAGGAGGACCTGAATTCAAATCTGGAATAGGAATGAGGAAATTCCTCAGATACTTGAAATTTACTAGCTGTGTGACTGCCTGGCAAAAAACAAACAAACAAAAAAAGATAGGCCTTTGTTTGGGGCAGCTAGGTGGTGCAGTGGATAGAGTCTTGGAGTCAGGAAGACCTGAGTTCAAATCTAACCTCAGACACTTCACACTTAGTAGGTCACACAGACCCTGAGCAAGTCACTTAATCCCGATTGCCTCACCAAAAAGAGAAAAAAAAAGTGATACAGACCTTTCCTGTTATGGAATTTTTTTTCCAAGTCAGACATTTGTAGTATAGTGTAGTTTAACATTTGGTTTGAAGCACTGTCATTTCTTAGATCATTGTGTTTGTTCATATTCAAATTTAAATACCAAACTAGCTTCTAAGGTCAAGGATATTATTTTTGTATTACCCATGTCACATCTCCTACCTGTTAGTGCAATTATCAAAAGTTGACAGTATATATACATCTATAACAACATGGAAAAAAACACCATTTGACTACTTGTCTAGATATTGAAACAATTTACATGGAGTAGAGAACTGAACATTGATTTCATTAATTTTTCTTTCACTATGCCTCCAAAGGGAAGGAAGGATAAGAATGGTAGTTAATAAAATTATACTGTACCCCAAAGAATGCATATGTAAAATGATAGTTAATAAATTTAAATAAATTATAAATACATGATTGGATGGCTATTAGAGCTTATATGTGTGGGGTAAAAATATTAATTATTAGTTTACTGAAGCTATCAAAGCAGTTTTTAATTTGAGCAAATTTCAGAGAGAAAGAAGAAATTAAGAAAGCTAAGTAACAAGGTCATTTCAATTCATAATTCACTGGTTCTTCATTTATGGTTTGCAAAGTACAATGAAATTAGAGGAAGGTGAGGGAAAAAAAACTTAACAACTAAAAATACAAGTCCCTGCTACATCAAAGACAATTTCCTGAGGCTTTGTTTAAAAATAATTCTAAATGTTCTCTTTCTCTCTGAAAAGCCATTTCTGGCAATTGTAAAATAGGTTTCTACAAAATGATAGAAGCAATAATACTTCCACTGTGGCCTCTTTGATACATAGTTGTCAGAGATTCAGATTGTATAAGCTAGAATGCTTTTCTACAGGTGCTGGTCCTATGGAGGCTTATAATGTAAAAACACCTAGTTAATTGGAATATAACAGCAACAATTTGGCTTTTCGAAACAACTCAGACTGCATATAATGTTTACTTTAAAACTAAGGCCAGAAGTTATCTTAATTTAACGACTATGAACTTAAATCACTTAAGTACATTTTGTGAACCACTCAAAGCAATTTAAATGACACCTATCCCTAAACCATTTTCCGTACATTCTTTTTAATTTGCTCATTAGATTATCCCATTATTATCACTCCATGACAGTAATCACTTGCTAAAGTAAAACTTGGGAAAAGGAGATTCCTATGAAGAAATGAGGGAGGATAGTTAGGGAGAACAAGAGAATCATGAGGATCACAGGCTTCTGTGTTGATACAAAATTCTGCAATTAAATTAGACATTAACAGTCTAATCCCCAAGAGGCGGTGCTGGTAACTGACCTAATAATCTGTAAGACTTGGGTTCAAGTCTGATCTCTGAAAGATAATGTTTGACTTAGGGCAATTCACTTGACTTGTTCATACCCTAGTAACTCGAAGTCTATAAAAGTTGCAAAGCAGTTGCTGATTTGCATCAATGAAGAGTTTCCATACTGGGAATCCCCAATGAAATCACAGGTACAAACCAAAATAAACAAATAGGCTAAATATAATAAATTACCTATAACAACTGAGTTCATTAAAAAAAATTTTTTTTTAACAAAGCTGGGCTCTTCCAGTATATAGCTTTTTAATTTTAAAAGCCATCTGCATTGTCTATTTCAGGGAGGAAAAACACACACAAAACCATAAAATGGAAGGAATAAATCACATTCAAATAAATATCTCTGAAAAACAGATCTTACATTGGCCCAAAGACATAGATAGTTTAGTATTATTCCCAACAGAGGTTTACCATTTCTTAATTTCCACCATCTCTTGACTTCCACCAAACATGTTATCCTTTAGTGAAAAATACTTGTGGAAAAAAATTACAAAGCCCAAACTAACCTGAGAGCTCTGTACACAGGGATGGCTCACTATTAGGATGCTTCCTAACCAGCATGGAATCCGTGTCAGAAAGCCCAATTGCTACACTAAAAAAGTACAGTTTAAAGGAAGTTAATTATCTGAATTTTCTACCTCTTCTATTAAGGCAGACAAATGAAACAAAAATGTCACTAGTGCACAATACATGCTGGATTGTTGAAATCATTTTAGTACATGCTGTAACACTTCTAAAAATAGAGGGGCATAACACTCAACGAATAGTCTTTTCCTAAATGCACAGCAACAGAAGAAAATGATGATAAGGACATTAGATACTTTGAAGACTAATATTTTTGTCACAAATGGCTTCTAACATGGTTATACAATAGGTTTTATCAAAATAAATAAGCCATGTTTACTAAATATTTATGGGGTACATGTGACACTGTTTTAAGTACTCAGGTAACACTTCCTATATGTCCCAGTTAAAAACTCCTAAATTTTTCTATACTGGCCCAGAGAACATTTTAACTAAAATTCTCCATTAGCTGTGTCACTTGCACTATCTCAGCTTTTCTGTGACAAAAGTATTTTGTAAACCTTAAGGTACTATATAATTTTGAGTTACTATTCATTTTACAAGTATTATCCACACGTTAGATTTGAATTTGTGACATTTTAATTCATTAAATAATTATTGAGTATCTACAATATTCAAGGCACTCTGTTAGCTTTTCTTGCTAACTACTTAATCTTTCCAATGAAGATCTTTCACAATTCCGAGTAAAAGTCAACTGTATTCCTATTTTCATAATGTCTTAAAGCACAATATCCAATAACTTGCAGTAGAGCAAATAAGAAGCAAATCTCTTTCCAGAAAGCCCTCACTGGACAAAGAATAAACCATATACGTTATGTTTTTTAATAGAATTTCTTCTAGTTCAATGCATTACAAAACCATCAATTTTCCTAAAAAGTACATACTTTTGCAAAAGTTCTAGGAAAGTTTTTCCATCACTGGAATGTTTAGTTACACTCTGAAGTTTATTTCCATAAATGACTTACTTCCAAGCTGCCTCTTTTTATTGGATTCAGTACTAACAATTTTTTCAGAAGATTTTCACAGTCTGTAGACATATAGAATGGAATACGATACTTTCCTCGTAAGACTCGCTCCCTCAGTTCCTTTACAGAAAAAAAAAAGTTTTTATATATGTGTGTATGTATATATACATAGTTACAGCTGACAATTGAAATTATAAAGATTTAGAGTAAGAACTTATCCTGAAGTTAAACCATTACCTTTAGATTCTGACCATCAAATGGCAAAGATCCACTGACTAATGTATACAAAATGACGCCAAGACTCCATACATCTACTTCAGGGCCATCATATTTCTTTCCTTGGAAAAGTTCAGGAGCTGCATAGGGAGGACTTCCACAAAATGTGTCTAATTTGTTTCCAACTGTAAATTCATTACTAAAACCAAAGTCAGCTATTTTAATATTCATATCAGCATCAAGAAGAAGGTTTTCTGCCTAGGAGAAAAATGTTAAAAAAGAAAATGATTTGCAAAGGAAAAGTATATAAAAACACAATTTGCCTAATTAAAGACATGCTCCAGTTAATTAAAAAAAGTTTCCTTTTATTGTTCTCATTTACTAAATACCATCTCAATATCTTGGAAGTAGCCTCACTTTCCTATAATTATCCAATTTAATTCTTTTTTTCTTTATTTTTTTTTAATTTTTAATTAATTTATTTTGAATTATCAACAATCACTTCCGTAAGTTTTTGAGTTTTAAATTTTTCTCCCTCTCCCTCCCCACCTCCCTAACCAAGACGGTGCGCAATCTGATATAGGCAACAAATATACATTCCTATTAAACATATTTTCACATTAGTGATGTTGTAGGTATGAATTAGAACCAATAGGAGGAATCCCCAGAAAGATATCCAATTTAATTCTAACAAATGCCATTTCAAAGGCTCAGAAACACAGCCTTATCTTTCAGTATACACTTATTTAGTTTAGTTCTAACAAACATGATTTTTAAAATATAAAATTAAATTTATAATATAAAAGTATTCTTATAAATGCAATTTCACTTAAACCTGCCCATAATCCTTTCATGTTTATAATAATGATAAGAACACCTGACATTTATATAATGATTTATGATTTGCAAAATGCTTTATGTATATTACCTCACTTGATCTTCACAATTCTGACAGTATAAGTACTATAAGTTTTATTCACATTTTATAGTTGAACAAATTAAGGCTGAAATAGGTTAAGAGAATTGCTTATGATCACACAGTGAGTATCAGAGCCGGGACTGACGCCAGATCTATCCAAAGAGCCTAACAGGCACACAGATATAGGGCTGGACTATTCCCTCAGTTAACAGATGTGGAAACTGCAGAACAACAATAATAATATTAATAATAATAGCTAACATTTACATAGTGCTTACAATGTGCTAGGCACTGCACTAAATACTTTACAATTATCTCATTTTATCCTACAACAACTCTGGGAGGTAGGTGTTGTTATTATCCCTATTTTATAAAAGAGGGAACTGAGGCAAATAGAGGTTATGATTTGCTTAGGGTCACACAGCTAGTAAATGGCTGAGGTTGGATTTCAACTCAGGTCTTCCTGACTCCAGGTCTTGCACTCTATTCACTGCGCCATTGAGCTGTTTCTCCAAAACAACTAAGCAGACAAACAAAATGAAGGAATGAAGTGCACAGCTCTAATAAAAAAGCAGAAAAATCTAACTATAAGTCAACTAGTTTGGGTAGTATTCATTCATCAAAAATACAGTATTCAACAAAAGTAAAGTAACAAGAATTACACATTAGCCTCTAGTAATAAACCTTTCCTTCCTATATTAAAAAAAAAGGATGATGTTAATTACCTTACTAGACATGATTGGGAAGCTCTTATCATAAGTAACTGTCACATCAAGAATTGGCTAACTAGCTAAATTATAAATAGCACCTTATTTCCAAAGCTCTCCCAAAGGAAAATAAATGTGATTCAGATTCCAAAAATATTAAAAGGTTTTTTTTTTAAAAGGGGTGAGGTATTACATTTGTGATGCTGTGTGATAGTGAACTAAAATCCATTTTAATATTTGTAAGAAAACGTGCATTTCTGAGAAAATAAATTCGGCTTAAATACTCAAATGGATTTATGATCTTATCAATATGGACATTCCTTCCAACAGCGCCCACCACAGTATATCCATGTCCATTCTATGTGATTCTTATTCATGTCTTCTCCTAAGTTCATGGAGGGGGTCCATGCAATGTGCTGGAGTCCTTCATTTTCTCCTGTCCCTGTGAGGATACCAGTGTGGCACACAGGTTGTTCATTAGTTAAACTTCATTCTTGTCATATGACCAAATCATCTTTGTGCCACTCTGTGATCTAACCATCTGCAGAGATAAATCCAAGTCCTACTATGATACATAGTGAGATAGATAGCTTATAGAACTTGTCTAGCATTAAATCTATCTACATCTTGAATAGTGAAAATGGGCAGACTGAGAGCCTTCAATTGAAACAGGAGAAAAGGCTGGCTTTTTCTCATGAAATTTAAGATAACCAAACATTTCCTGGAAATGAAGGTCTATCTTTTTAATACCAATATTCTACCATTTGTTGCTGTTTGGTTATGCCATGAACCATTATAGTCTCCAAGGAATTAAAAATGAATATTACTGAGATGCCAATAAAGAACCACATATTGGTTACTTGTTACCACACCAATTAAGGAATTACAATTAAGAACTGGAGAAAAAAAAATGTATCTAAAGCATTTTTTTAAACATAATTATGATCCACTGGTTTCCCTTACTTAAAATATCCTTTCAGAACAAGTATTTAAATGTAATGAGAATTCAGAATTAAAAAGCTATCCCACGTAATTAATATAATCACTCAATGCCACTGAAAACAGATTCAACATAAGACAATTTGTGTGGCATGGTAAAATGGAGAAACTAGAGTGAGCAGACATGAGTTCCAGTTCCAACTCTGCTATTCATTACTAGCGTGTGATCTTGGGCAAATCGTCTTACTCTTGTAGTTATCAGCTTTGAATTCTTATAAATGAAAGCATTAGATTAGCTAATAGCTCACATCTATTTTTTATAGTTTACAAAGTATTTTCTCTGTAACAAGCCTGTGAAGTTGGGATTACAACACATTATCTTCCCACTTTTGCTGATGAGAAAGGGAGGTTCAGAGATGGGTCACATTGCTAGTGTCATCACTTAGAGTCAACCTTAAGACTCTTTAAACTTCAGTACTTCACTCGCTCTAGTGCTAGAATGATGATTCTACAATTCTAATTATGTACCCTTGACAATTAGAGAGGAAATCTTATTTTATGTAATTACCTTTAATCACTTATCAATAGAACCAGTAGCTCTGTAGCTTTGGGCAAGAAACAGGGACATATTTTGGCCCAATGGCAAGAAAAAAGGCTGCCCCAGAAAATGAACAGCTCTAATCATTAGGGAGTTTTTTCATACATGAAGCTCAAATTCTCATTGAAACTACCACTCATAGGGACAGCTAGGTGGTGCAGTGGATAGAGCACCAGCCCTGGAGTCGGGAGGACCCGAGTTCAAATCTGGCCTCAGACAGTTACTAGCTGTGTGACCCTGGGCAAGGTACTTTAACCCCAATCACCACCCCTCCCCCCAAAAAAACCCCTACCACTCATTGCTCTTAGTTCTCTCTTCTGGTACCAAATAGAACAAGTTTAAGTTTCTCCTTCATGTGATAGTCCATCACAAACATATCTTATTCCTGTTGAGATGAGTCTTCATAGGACATGCACCTAAGGCCGTTCACCATCTTGGATTGCCCTAGTCTCTGGCTCACTGGTGTCCTACTTAAACTCTAGCACCCAAAACTGAACACAATATTCTAAATGTGGTCTAACCAGCACAGAATAAAAGCAGATTATCACCTCTTTATTTCTGGAGGCTATAGTTCTTATTGCAGCCCAAAATCACATTAGCCTTTTTTTGACTACCATATTATGCTATTGGCTCTTACTGATCTTACCGTCAACTAATACACCGGATCATTTCCAAACATACAATTAACTTTTTTGATCATGTACCCCATTAGTATAAATTTTGACCATTTATAATAAATATATTTATTTATTTATAAATCATTTACATGTGTTTCTTTACTAATAATTACACACATCATACAACAGACAAAAATAGAAATAAAAAGGGTGCAATAAGAAAACGAACCATTGATGACCAATGAAGGTCAAGTACAGGCTGCAGGATCTTTTGGTATGTTATGCTGGGGATTCCGTTTGCATATTCTGTTGCTGTTCACTCAGGTCCAACTTTTGGTGAACCCATTTGGAATTTTCTTGCCAAAGACCCTGGAGTGGTTTGCCATTTCCTTCTCCAGCTCATTTTACAGCTGAGGAACCGAGGCAGATAGGGTGAAGTGGCTTGCCCAGGCTCACATAGTTAGTAAGCGTCTGAGGCCAGATTTGAACTCAGGAAGATAAGTCTTCCTGACTTCAGACCCATTCACTATCCACTGCACCACTTAGATGCCCAGTTTGGTAAACAGTTTGGACTAAATGGTCACTGAGGTCCCTTCCAATTCTGAACTTCTGATTGGTCATTTGTAGTAAGGGGATAAAAGCATGTGATATCTCTAAGGTCTTTTCCAGCTCGAAATCTTATGATCTCTAAGGTCACTTGAAGTATGTAGTATCTATCACTAAAAACAAATGCATGTTGCTTAGGAATAGTACATTACATTTTTAATAAAAGTCCCAGAATATTAAGACTCAGAAGACCTAAGTTTGAGTTCTGGTTCTGACAGTTACTAGTTGTGTGACCATTTCTCTGAGCCTCAGTTTACTTGTCTAATAAAATGCAACTAAGCCAACTTACACCATCTACCTAGAGAATTAATGTGAGTAAAGTGCTTTATAAACTATAAGCTCCAGATCAGGGATTCTTAACCTTCTCTGTGTCATGGACCCTACTGACATTCTGGTCAAGCTTATGGTCCCGCTGTCAGAAAAATCCTTTTTGATGCATAAAATAAAATACAATACAGGATTACAAAATAAAACAAGTATACTGAAATACAATTATCAAAGAATTGTTTAAAGAAAAGAAGTTCAAGGATACCATGTTTGGAACCTCTGTTCTAGAGAAATGTGTATAAAAAGTTACTTTAAAATACTTTTTTTAAAAACATGCAAAAAATTTACACTCATTTTTAAAAATTTTGAGCTCCAAATTCTCTCTCCTTCCTTTCCCCATCCCTCCTTGAGAAAGCAAGCAATTTGATATAGGTTATACATGTTAAAATACTTCTTTAAGGTCAGGTGCAAGACTGAGCAAGAGGAGAAAGTTGAGCAACAATAAGCAAAGGTTATGTATGGTTATGTCGGAGACTATCCCCATGATCAGCTACTGTATTGAACATGGGATGCTAAGGGGTACCCCTTGGGGCTGTGTTTTGGCTCACTGGGAGTATAGAATCCCCACTGTGGAAACCATGGATAGAGCTTACATTTGAAAACCCACTACTGCCTGAAGCAGCTCATTCTGATATTTGAATTAAAATGACAGCATAATTATTTATCCAAGAGTTCACAAAATATTTTGTAAGAAACTTTTCTATTTTATTGAGCTTCTGGATTCTTAGTCATAATGAATAATAATTTTTTTTTCTGATATCAGTTGCAGTTTGTAAAGTCAGAAAACCAACTACTTACCTTGAGATCACGGTGTACAATACACTTTTGATGACAATACTGTACTGCAGACACAATCTGGAAAACAGTTTAATAAAAAATTCAAAAACATTATACAGAAACATTTTTCCTCAATTCCTCCCTTTCCCACATTTTAGATATATCTCAACTATCAACTATTCAAATTCCAAAGTTACATTAGTTTTTCACTATGATTTTCCTTTAACAAATGAGAAATGCTTAAAGTTTTGGTGAGTAGAAATATCTTCTTTAAAGATGTCAAGCAGATATTCAAAATTCTCTCTCTCAAAGTATTAATAAATATTTCTTAATTTTTAAATGCAATTTAAGTACTTTTATGTGGGCTAGCTTATTCCTTTTTTCATATTTTCAAAATTATATTATCTATGTTGTCATTATTCAGATGATTAATCTTTACACATTCCAGCAGTGCAATAACCTTTAGTACATTTCCATTCATTTTAATACAGTAAGCTCAGATTAAAAAAACAAAACTTTATTCCAAAATTATAAAATATATTTAAGAAAGAGTTTATTAAAGATAAATTAGCCTTATTAAAATGATTTATCAGTGAGGTGGTTTAGGGCCATTTAAAGCTCATTTGTTAATACACATAAGAAATTGTAAAGGAGAAACACTAAGGCTGTTTTTAAACTGTCAACACAGTGGCTTAGCCTAATTGTATAGAAAGGAGAAATGAAATTTAATCTTATATTTGCCATTAATTTACTTGGCAAAGTATTTAACTACTATTCTTGCTCCATTCTTGTAAAAAACAGTAATAAAAAACTAGTAATACAGGTTTTAATTTTTATTTTAGATAACAGCTGCAAGGCATTTTGCATTTATTAAGAGCAAATGCTGAGCAGGAACTCATTACAATTATAAATAAGAATATAGTATAACACATTCTACTATTTTTATTATGTAAAATATAAACACAGATAGGAATGAACAGGAATTAAGCAGTGTGGAGATAGTGGAAAGAGCACAGGACTTACAGAAGACCTGGGTTCAAATTATGACTCAGATATTTACTTAGTTGAATAACTTATTTAACTTAATCATTCATTATTTAATCATTCAATGACTCAGTTTACTCACTTGTCAAACGAAGGAACTGGTCTTTGATGGTTCCTTCTAAAGCTAATATGATGGATGCTGCCTTGTGCAATGTAATGGAGCTAACGTACACAGATTGAATTTCATATTAATGACTACCACTACGACAAATTTAATAGGATTGGCTTTTTTTATTGTTGTTTAAATGTACAATGTAACTTAAACAAGTTATATTATGCAACTAGAAATGTCTATTTACATTACGGTGTAAGAACAGCATTTGTTGGTATTGATAAATGTTTCATACAATTACTCTAATTGCAGTATAAGGTACAAACTTAACAAAAAAGCATAACTGCATCTGATTTTTGAGTATTATAAGTGTATTTTTAAAATGCTACTTGTAAACAAAGATTATTTCTAAGGTGTGGACACTGGAGGCACTACTAGTTCATGCAAGCATGTCAAGCTTATATGGCAAATTTAAGGAAAAAGTTCTAGATACCAAATTGAAAGATGGATAGGATGAAGAAATTTAGAAATAAATGCACTTATTAGTCTGTGTCATTCTTAACAATGGCTAGAAGCTGATTTTAAATATAATTTTCATTGTACATGCGTAACAACTACTAAAGTAACCACTCACTTTATTGAAATAGTGCCAATCAACTAATCAACAAGCATTTATTAAGTCTTTACTTTGTGCAATGGAAACTAAGTACTAAGGATGCAAAGAAAAAGTAAAAACAGTACCTGCCCTCAAGAAGCTTACATTCTACTGGGGAGGACAACATGGATGTAAATGGGTACATACAAGATATATAGAGTTCACAGAAGAAAGACACTACCATCTGGGAGGACTAAGAAAGGACTCCTACATAAAGTGGCATCTGAGCTGACAAAAGCCCATTCTAAACACTATTTTGTTAATTTGAGCAAGATCTTTAACAAGTTTCATAATTATAATGATATAACCAAATTTGATAATCCAACACCAACAGTATAGGGTTATACTGGGTAACTGCTTCTGTAAATAACTAAGAGTCATGGATTTCACATATGGCTCTCAGTTATCTCTTCCATTAAAATAACTGCCACAGTTATTGGAGTCACAACATTTTTTGAGCAGGGTCATTGAGTGTACTACCATGCCACCAGATAGATCAATACAGAGAATCCTGGACAGGTCCTACTAGATGCCATGTATTATGGTTCACAATGATATGCCTGTTAAACTATCAAGACAATCCTGACATATGAGGTTTCTAAAAGAAATTTTATAACTGCCTCTGAGTGGTTGTAACAATCTCTATTATTCCACCATTTAGTTATAATAGCAAATTCTAGTTGGGCTGCCATATTGCAGAACTCTAGGCAATAAGGAAACTATGGAGCTTGAGAGTAGATTGTACTGCTACTGTCCTTAAAAACAAGGACATTCCTGCTTTGTCCTTGCAGCCTCTGACAAAGTCATCTGGAACATTGCAATGAGGTTTACCATTTAGGATGACCATTTAATGAATTTGGGATTGGATTGGAATTTTACAGTATTATAAAATTGGGAGTCAGAAGGTACCTTAGAGATCATTTAGTCCTTCAATTTATAGATGAGGAACCAGGCTTACAGAGATAAAGTACTTTGATCAAAGACACAAAAGTAGTAAGCAGCAGAGCCAGGATTTGACTTCTGACTACAGATCCAGTGTTATTTCCATTAAATCATATCCCTAGTAAGTGTTCTGAGTCTGGAAGAGGAGATCAAAATGATTAGTCACCAGAAGGCCTCATAAATTGGACCACTCAGAAAGACTGCAGAATGTGGCTATGGCAGGACACTGTCTTTCTAGTATTTTACAAATAGTTTGGAAGAGATCATTTGGAACAAGGAATATGAATTACATGTGGAAAACATGATTCAATTTATAAATGCATTATGAGGATCAACTTAAAAATATATTCTTTTATATGAATGGGTTTTATGATCTAAGATACTATATGAAATATAGTAAAGTTTCATAAAGGGACATGGAACTTCTTAAAATACCATTTAGAAGCAAGAAGGAAGCTGTAATCAAGAAATACTACTAAATGACGCAGATTTTTTTTTTGTGGAAAGTTTTTTTTCCCGAATTTTAAAAACTGTATTATTTTTACATAATGCCAGAGAATAACATATATTATAAAAAAAGAGAACAAAGATTGAAGAAAATTGCAACCTTTTTCCCCTTTATTTTGGATTTAAATTGATTAACATCCACAATTGGGTAATTTGATGTATCTATGATCTCACTGTTTCAGATATTCACTCTAACTATACAGATGACAATCCATCCATGCCCTCTCATCCCATATGACTCATAAGTGTCAGACCACTTGGACTCTAATATCTCAACCAGTTCTCATTTGTTGATCCTATGATCCTCTACAAAAGGCCACTTAAATAACAAATCTACTAACTTAACAAATATTTCAATGCCTACTTCATGTGTTATTCTACACCTGACTTGAGAGGAAAAGTATTTGATTTCAAGTCAGAAGATCTGGGCTTGAATCCTGGCACCTCTACTTATTACTTACTACCTGTGTGACCTTGGACAAACTACTAAGACTCTTTGGGTTTCAATTTCTTCATCTGTAAATGATTGCGCTGAATTATCTGATCTCAAAAGAAAGTCTCTTACAGCTCCAGGTCCTGTGAAACAAGTCTCTGTCTACTTTGGAAAACAATTCAATTTTAATAATCATTTGTGACTTTTTTCTGCCCCGACTCTCCTTTTACCAAACACCATAAGCTCCAAAAATGCAGATATTACACCTTCGATAATTGCTCTATAGAGTATGGTTGTTTACAAAGGCAGTTTACTCATAAGATTAGAAAAAAATTAAGAAAATAAATTATGTCAAGTTTTCAAAACACATCTAATCTGTTTAATCTTAAGTAGGTTTTTCTTGTAGATTGTCTGGTAATCCAAAAGGAATAAAAGTAATATACAAAATTTTATGGTATTTCAACTGATGATTAAGAGGAAACTAGATTTTATCTAAACATAGATAAACTTAATGCCTCAGTTGCCAATTTTATTTCTTTATCAACAACAACAGGAATCAACGAAGGTCAGATATTTAGACGTAAATACTTTCAGAAATTACTCTGGGCACAAGGGTAGGTACTTTTTGGATTTTTTTCTTTTTTGGGGGGGAAGAAGTCTGGACTTGTGATTTTCCCAATGTGGAAAAATTCCAGCGTACAACCTTCCTCCATTGAAGTACATGGACAACACTTCTGAAACTTACAATCTCAGATAGTCTCCTGAAACATTCTGTGCTAAAATAGCTTACCTATGGCCATATAAGATAATGGCCTCCAGTATAATGAAAGATAAATCTTTAATAAGCCACCAGAGAAAATGTAATATATTAGGTATCAGAAAATTCTTAAGGCAAACATTTTCTGAAAGATCCTAAATATCCTATAATAAATTTTAGATAAAGTGAACTTGCTATTTACCAGTTTTATGGAGGACTGATAATAAACTAAATGAGTAATTAGGATAACTTATTTTATGATGAACCATAAACAGAGACCTTACAAAGTGAGGCACTGTTTATTAGCTAAAGAAAAAGTTCACTTTTAAAAAAAAGACTTCAGAGAGTCATAGATTCTCAGATTTGGGACGAATCTCAAAAGCCATCTAGTTTGAGTTTACTGAAAATTCAAAATATGCTGGACTTATTTCACAAACTCCACATTTGATTTCTGTGAGAATCTGTGCCCCAGATCAAAATTGTGAATGTGAATTTCTTCCTTGCTTATAAGATCCCATGCTCACGTAACAGTGCTAAACAAAATTAATATATTTCCCCTTTAAAACTCAAAACATGGATACTGACCAAAACAGCAAATTCATCTTTGAATATGAAGGACAACAATATCTAAAACTCTAAGTAATATATTATGTATGCCAGAGTTCTGTACAATTAAGCTCCTAGATGTGTTTTTTGTGGATCCACAAGCATATTCTATTACTTTTAACTATGCTGTCTCCTCCAATTAGATATGAACTCCCAAAAAACTGCAACTCTGATTTGCTATTTGTATTCTCAACACTCAGAACAGTGCTTAGCACATACTCAAATGAATTTGTGATCTTACTGATCTAGGAATTCTCTCCAATAATATGTTCTGCAACTCATTTGTGCCTGCTGTAGCCATGACTATTCTGGTCCATGTCACAGGGGATCTATCTCATGTGCTAAAGACCTTTCTCCTTTTCTCTAGATATTCTGAGGGCACAAATGGAACATTGTCTACTTGTCACACTTCACATGACACCTGTCATTCCATAAGACCAAATTATATTTATTTCCCTTAGGACGTTCTTTATACCTGTTCTTCATGGTTTCTCGGTGGTTATAAGGTGCAGCTTGCCTACATACATATACCATGTATCTCTACATTACTCTAAATGTGATACTCATTTTCAGGATTTCAAAGGCAGTGGTGTTACAAATTACCAAACAGCAACAACAAAAAAAAATTAGTATCGAAAAGACAGGCCTCTGATTTGGCAATCCAGCTGCCTTTCTTCCTGTTCAACTTTGGACCCAACTTTTCTGAGCCAGCGTTGTATAAGCTTCATGGGATATCTTTCCAAATGTATGCTGAAATCTAGACAACAGACATTCTTCAAGCATTTGGTGTTTCCCGTGTGGATGGATAGGATAGGGCTAAACTGCTGAGTGGTTACAGATCACATCTGGGAGGTTTTTAAGTATTTGAGGGTTTGATGCAATCAGAACAACTTCATCTGTGAACAAGAGAATCTGGAGAAACTCACCATTCACAGGGAATTCTTCAACCCAGACTCTGTGTTGGATTTCCTACATCATAGTAGAGAATACATTCAGGGAATAATTATCGTTTATGCTCACCTGATGTTTATTACCAGAGCATTATTGAACAGTGTTATTTGTGTTGTGACATCTTCCAAGCAATCTTGAATGATAATGTTGTATAGATCGGAAACATCTTGTTGTAAAAACGTCTTTGAGGGTATATTTTGTTCTAGTCAGTTGAATGCTTTTTCATAATCAACAAATAATAAGCAAAATAGATCTTCTGGTCTCTAAATCTTTCAAGCTAATTGTGAAATGATAATTATGTAGGGCCATTTAAAAATAACACCTACAAAAACCTGCTTGCTTCCCACTACTACCCTCATGTAGATTTCCCCTGATTTGTGCATATAGGACTCTCATAAAGATTTTATCTGGGGGGCAGCTAGGTGGCGCAGTGGATAGAGCACCGGCCCTGAAGTCATGAGGACCTGAGTTCAAATCCAGCCTCAGACCAAACACTTGACACTAGCTGTGTGACCCTGGGCAAGTCACTTAACCCCAATTGCCTTAAAAAAAAAAAGATTTTATCTGGACAGGAGAGTAGGAAGGTAGGTCAGGAGTTACTGATGTTCTTTCAGTCACCTTTTTGAATTACTAACAAGGTTTGGTAATTTTTTTTTTTCCATTCTGGCATGTTCCCTTCCTTTAGCTATCTTGTAAATTGATCCCTCAACGTATAAGTATATTGCCTCCAGCACACATCTCATCTATACAGCCTTGTTCCAAACCTACTTTTTCTGGTTTTATTATTTTTTAGTGCCATTTCTAGCTCCTCTGCAAGTACATTTGGACCCTGATGTTAAAGTCCAATTGTGGTGGTTTTACCACCTTTGGTGGAGAAAACAGTTTTTGTAAATCTTTTCCTTTTTTTTCTTCTGTTTGTAATCATCCTTCCATTTTCATTCCTGAATATCCTATGGAGGGCTTTGCTTAGCTGGCTATCTTTACCAACTTTCTTTAAACTAATTTTACCCTCTACTGCTTCTCTCTGCTTAATGAGATGGTATTGATCATAATTTTTCATAATATTTCTTCAGAAGATTTTACAAATGAATTTATATTCTGCCTTTGGCAGCCACACTCAAACATTAAGTCAGATGTTTGTTAAAGCACTTTCTGGGCTCTTTTGGTCTCCTCTAATTTATGTCAGTAAAATTTCCAGATAAAATTAGTGAATATTGATATCAATACTGTTGGCACACAATATGCACTTAATAAATGCTTTCTCATTCATTCATTCATGAGGCCTAAGAGATTATATTTAAGTTTCAAAGTTATTATTACATAGACTCATTATGATACATATATGTATATATATGCAGCATAATACAAAACAAAATTTGATAGGAATATCATTGTAAGAAATGAAATCTCTATTCCAAGATATACAAAGTGTTAATGTGGTAAGTCAGTTATAAAAATTTGGCTGCTTGACTATTCATTTATAAGGGCCTAAAAATAACTACCTATAATTACTTAAATTTTATATTCAGGATTTTTTTTCTTTAAGGTAGTATTTCTTTCAAAACAACAACAAAAACAACAACAACAATAATAACAAAGCATACTACAATATAAAAAAAACCTGAATTTTACTTTTGAAAATATCACTTTTGAATTCTGTTTTCCAACCTTATGACATTGTCCATTATCTGTGCCACTGAAAATATCAGGAAAATACTTTCCATACCTGTCTAAATTTTGCACGGGCCTCTTTCTCCTTCATTCTTCCATGGGCAACTAAGTAATCAAACACTTCACCTAAGTCATAAAGGTAAAGCAGACAGTGAAATAAGTATTATTTTTCAATTTAAGGATATATGCAATTTCAGGTTGTTTTTAAAGAGGCCATGTGGCTAACAAATTTTGTTAATTATTAATAACTGATCATTAATAAACTATTAGACTCGGGTGAAAAAGCTTGCTTGTATGTTTAAATATGATCATAACCAGATATCAAACTTTAATAAAACTTATAAAAATGTAAATACATAATGTACAACTAGAAAACCTTGCTTTCTGGTGTCATTTTCTTAGAAATACAGTCAAGTCAATTCTCTATTATTAGGTCATCAAAATAAAAACCAGAAATATAACTCAGATTTGGCTTTGGAATGCATTTTTGGGCTACTTGAAGATCCCCAAGATTTACAACACCTTAACAACAACACAAGTCACCTCGTCATGACGTTCTCCTGAATATTTTAATCTTTAGTCACTCACTAAAACCTCATCTTCTCCATAATGTCTCCCTCACTATTCCAGTCCACCCAAGTGTCTCACCCTCTGTGCACATCTATAGGACCTGCTGTCTGTACCACTGTCTCCTCCACTGTTCAGCAAACTCCTTAAAGCTTCAGATAGCATCATGCTTCTGTACCTGGTACATGGAGGCAGCCGGTGGTGCAGTGGAGAGTGCTGTAGTTGGAGTGAATAAGACCTGAGTTCAAATCCAGCTTCAGAGAGAGATTTACTATTTGTGGGACCCTGGGCAAGTCACTTAACCCACTCTGTGCCTCAGTTTCCTCATCTGTAAAGATGGGGATAATAATAGCACCTATCTCTCAGGGTTGTGAGGATAAAATGAGTTCATATTTGTAAAGCGTTTTTCAAACCTTAGAATGCTAGATAAATGCTAGCTATTATTTTTTCCCATTTGTTCAGGGCCAAGCATAGTGATAAACATAAAGTACTCAATAAATATTTATTGAATTGAATCTGAAAGCAATAGAAGCCATCTAATTCTTCTAGCCTATTCTACCACTTAACTCTTTTACAAAATGCTGTCCCACCTTGGTTTCACTATTTATGCCAGTCATCAACATAGTAAGAAAGCTAATTACCAAGTGAAAGTATAATTATAGCCAATCAGTATTAACACACTAATGTCTACTACAATGAAATATTATTTTATATATGCTAAACAGGTAATGGATATTATATATCCCCATGAAATATTATTACACACTACATATGACTATAATTAAAAAAACAAACTCTGAATAGTTCCTTATTTCCAGTCTAATTTAAAGAGAGTGGTTTCTGAGAAATTCTAAGGAAGCAAGTTTTTTTTTAATATTAAAAATAAAACAATTGTAATAAGCCAAGGTTTTATGTGAGATAAAGCCTGACATATGAAAATATCTTAAGAGCATGATGGGGGGGGGGTGAATATGCTATATATTCAATCAGTCATTCAATAAGCATTTATTAAGTGCCTATCATGTACCAGGCACTGAGCTGACACTGGGAATAAAAAGGCAAAAATAAAACAGCCCCTGCCTTTAAGGAGCTTACATCCTATTGGATGGAAAATATGTACACATATTTATATATATATAAAACAAATACAAGGGAATTTTGGGTGGGAAGGATCCAGCAGATTGGGAATTAGGAGTGGCCCTATGTAGTAGGCACACTTGAGCTAAGTTTTGAATCATTTGGCTCTCTTTTCCTCAAATCCAAAGACAATTTCAGTCTGCCCTTGGTTGTACATCCAGGCTGGGAAAATTCCTGGAGATTTGGTTTAGTATATATATGGTTAAGGGTAATTCTCAGTCTGAAGGACCTCAAAAACACAGACAGTAATAGGGCCAATTCAGGGAATTTCAATGAGTCTACAAGGCCAGTTTGGCAGAGAACTCTCCCAGAGTAGTTCTATAGCCTAGTCTCCCTAGGATCACTTGGACTTACTGACAATGATGCACAGACCATTCCACTGGATGCCCTGCTTTCCCAAAGCCATGAAGTACCACAGCACCACCGCTGAGCCAGAATTCTACTGACCTATACCCAGCAAAGATAAACTTGCCTCATTCCTTGTTGCCTGTGTTGTATTTCTGCTTTTGGTTTTTTTTGGTCAAATGAAAGCCTCAGATGTCTAAAAAACTTTCAAAGGAGAAGAATGTTGTACCACATTTTTCGGAACTAATTCAATACCATCTGAAGATAAGAAGAACGTGAGAACGGCTTTCAAACCACTGTCACAGCCTTAAGCAGAACTAGCAAAGCATTTCAGCTAAAAGAAACCAAATGGTAGGAATGGGACTATTTGTAGAAGCAAAATGGATCAGTTGCAGAGTGTCTGCAGAGTGTTCACCTCAGGGATTCTTAAAATTGTCTCCTACCCTATAGCACTCAGACCCAAAACATGAATGAGAGAAGATAATGATTATCCTATGCTTTATGTTACCCATGCTACTACGCTCCTCCACTATGAAAGACAGAAAGTTGACCTACTTGGTTGAAAGTCAAAATGCTTTACATTTTCATAATCAACACAACTTGCAAATGGTTATGAAATATAAAATTTTCACTTTGTCAAGGCCATTCTGACCTGCTAGCCATGCTCGCCTTACCTCCCTCCACCCCCATTTAGTAAAGGAAAAGTAACTATGTATATAAATTATATTTGGGTTTCTCTCACAGACAGATCGTCATAGAAGATATTCAGAAGGCAGAAAGAACCAGCTGAATAAATTATGTAGCCCTTAAGCTTTTTGTTAAATCTATTAACACGTTTTAGAACCAGGTTCTGTGATAATTTGCAAAACTGTATTAATAAATATCAATCTCCCAATATTATCATGTAAGTTTAAGGCAAAACAGTGGCAATAACCTACACTAACTATTTCCAGAATAAAATAAACTTTTAAAAGAACAAATCTACTAAAACATTCAATTCTGTATATCTAAAAAAGGCACAATTAAACACAATAAGCTACATTAACATTGTACAAAATTATTTTCTTCAGAAGACTTGATAATGGACAACGTAAAGATAGGTTAGCAATTAGAAGTTTTGGATTTGATTTTCTGTTGATTCAAGTGTAATTTTCCCTCACCTATAAAATACAGTATTTAGACTAAATGACCTCTGAAGTCTCTTGCAGCACTGATGTTTTATAGATCCCATGTAAAATCACTCTTGAGCCAGAAACACAGAATCTTAGATTTTGAAGGGACCTCAAAAGTCACTTAGTCTAATCAGTACCTGAATGGAAAGCAATTAGTTGATCAGCTAAGAGATACCACAGATCACTCAGTTCTACTTGTGATTAGTTAAAAAGTTTAAGTAAAATTCTAGACAGTTCCAAATTTTTGAGTAGACTGCTCTAAAACTTTGTATGTGTAGGTTTTCTACAACTCAGACCAGAAATATTGTTATAAGTGGTCATTATAAGCCTATTTAATGTATAATATATTGGGAATTTAGTGCTATAAAAATAGCATTACAAAGGATTATCCATCTGGATACATTTTTATAGGAAAATACATTCAATTTTAATTTATAAACTCTTAACATAAGAGCAGTAGCCTACCTTATGGCCACTATTGCTGGCCCTGAAGCCAGGGCCTAAAGTTTGGGAAAAGCGGGCAGGTAATATGAAAGGAGACACAAGGACAGGGTCCACTGCTTGATTTGTTATTTCTAGTTCACCTAGTCTTACTGCTTCTTTTCTACTTTTACATCCCTAAAGCAAGAAACCCTCAAAACACTGAGTTCAAAGGGTTTTTTTTTTTACTATTAGTAACTGTGAGAATAGAAGAATAGAAAGCTATTAAATTATTTATCTCTGCAAAACCAATTAACACATCAAAAAAATCTGATGTCATATGCAATGTTCCTTACCTATAGCCCCTAGGGGGAGGAACACAGGAAGAAATGTAGGTAATATATAAACAAAAGTTAGCAATAAATGTTTTTAAAAATCTTACACCTGACTCATTTTTTCCTACTCTTTTCACTAATACCCTAAGCTATAGAAAAGTTGATAGTATTACTCGGACCTTCATCATAGAAGTTAAAGCAAGGGTAAGACATCCAGGAGGGCAGGGAAACAAGGTAGGGAGCTTAGACCAAATTCATTTCAATTCAATAAGCTTTTAGCAGGTGCCCACTACATGTAAGCTACTGTGCTAGGTGCTGCAGCTACTACCAAGACAAGAAACTAAACCACCTCTGTATAACCACCAGGTGGCAGTGGTGAGCCTGGCTAGTTAAGGACTCAAAATGGAACTGCATGGAAAGATGAGATGCTGGCAAAACACTGTGTGGGACAATATATCTCTTTTTTGAGGAGTTCCTAAAAAATTTCACTACACTTACGCTCAAGAAGTTTACATAATACTGAGAAGGAGAGACAACAGGCAGAGATAAGTAAACAAAAGACAATTTTTGGAGAAAGAACTCAACAACTTGGAAAGCAAGGAAGAAAACTGGGAAAGGCTTCCAACAGGATAAAGATTTTTATCCCACAGGCAACAGGGATGACTGTTTTGGCAGCTGTGCATAGAGGACATGCTGGAGAAAGAAGATCAGGGAAGCAGTGAGAACAATAGGAGACTTTTGCAATAGTCCACATGAAAAGTCAGGAGGGCCTAAGCTAAGGTGAAAGGCCTAGAAAAGGAGACGGGGATGAATACAAGTTAGAATTGCCAAGACTCAGTTTAGGGGAGGTGACGAGAAAGGGAAAATGTTGATAATGATTCCTTGATTGGGAACCTGGTTGACAGGAGGATCATAGTTACCTTGACAGAAATAAGGAAGGTAAGAGGAAGGTTGGGTATAGGAGAATATATATTGAGTTCCATTTGGGATACATTGAAGTGTATAGAACATCTAGATGGATATGACCAGGAGGAAGTAACTGATATGGGACCAGAGTACAAGAGAAGGCTAGATATGCAGATCTGGGAATCATCTACATAAAGATGATCATTCAAACTAATGGGAGTTGATGAGATCACCAAGAGAAAGTCAATGAAGAGGGAGAAAGAACAAGGGCCCAGGCAAGAGCCCAAAGACATGGATAATGGTCCAACAAAAGAAATTAAGAGGCAATAGTCAGACAGGTAGGAGAACCATGGAAGAACAGTACAACAAAAACAGAAGAAGAATATCTAGGAGTCAGTTGATGAACATTTATTAAGGATCTACTATGCACCAGATCACTGGAGAAGGAAATGGCAAACTACTCCAGTATCTTTACCAAGAAAACCCCATGGACAATACTGGTATAATATGGTCCACAGAGTCATGAAGAGTCTGACACAACTGAATGAATGAATGACAATAAGAACAATGCAACAATAACAATAATAGCACAGACACTGTGCTAAGTTGTGGGAATACAAAGGAGGGCAAAATACAGTTCCTATTCCCAAGGAGCTCAGTTTAATGGGGCAAACAACATATAAACAACTATGTACAAGATAAAATGGAGATAATAAATAGCAAGAAAGCTTCCCTCTGTTAAATTAACGGTGGGAGGAAGGAAAGACTTCCAGCAGAAGGTAGAATTTTAGCTAGGACCTAATGGAAAGCCAGCAAAACCAGGAGATAAGAGAGGAGGAGAGCATTCTAGACATAGGGGACAGGCAGCGAAAATGCCACGAGTCAAAAGACACAGTCCCTTGTGTGAAAAACAAGGAGACCAGTGTCAGTAGAGTACATGACAGGGCAGGAGAGGGAGGGTGGGGAAAGTGTAAGGGTACGAGACTGGAAAAGTGGTGATGGTGGTGGTGGAGACACATTATAAAGGGCTCTAAACACTAAGCAGAGGATTTTATATCCTATCCTGTAGGCAATAGGGAGTGACTGCAGTTTATTAAGTAGATAGGTGACATGGTCAGCCCTGTGTCCTAATAAGATCACTTTGACTGGAGGATGAACCAGAGTGGAGACAGACTTGTGGAAGGTAGACCAACCAACAGGCTATTGTAATAATCCAGGTAGGAGGAGATGAGGGCCTGCACTAGAGTGGTGGCAACATCAGAGAAGATAAGGGGGCATTTACAAGAAATGTTACGGAGGTAAAATTGACAAGTGTTGGCAACAGATTTGATATGGGGGATGAGAAAGTGTAAGGAGTTGAAGATGACACCTAGTTTGCAAGCTTGGATGACTAGGAGGGGATGGTGGTATCTTCAACAGTAATAGGGAAGTCAGAAAGAGGAGGTAGTTTCAAGGAGGAAGAGGAAAATTGCAAATTCAGTTTTAGACATGTTGAGTTTAAGATGTCTGTGGGAAATCCAGTTCAAGATGTCCAAAAGGTAGTTGGAGATGTGAGACTAGAAGTCAACACAGAGGTTAAGATTGGATATGCAGATTAAAGAATGACAACTAAATGATAAGCAAAGAATGACAAGCATAGAGATGAATTCTTGGAGGCTGATGACACCACAAAGTGAGAGTGTATAGAGGGAGAGAAGAAAGGGCCCAATTTAGAGCCCTGGAATGCCCACATGACTTAAATGAAGATCCACAAAAGGACAGTGAGAAGGAGCAGTCACATAGGTAGGGGGAGAACCAGGAGACAGCATTGTGCAAAAACCTAGAGAGAAGAGAGTATCAAGGAAAAGACAATGATCAACAGTGTCAGTACGTGCAGAGAAGTCAAAGATGAGGACTGAGAAAAGGCCATTTGATCCGGCAATTAAGAGAACTATAGGAACTTTGCAGAGAGCAGTTTTAGTTGAAAGATGAGGTCAGAAGCCAGACTTTATAGAGTTAAGAGTGTGACAGAAAAGAAGTAGAGGTACCTATTGCACATGGCCTTTTAAGAGAATTTGGCCACAAAAGGGAGGAGATATGTGAGATAGCTAGAGGGGAGGGAAGGATTGCGTAAGGGCATTTTGAGTATGGTGGGAGACATAAGTATGCTGTAGGCAGGAAAGAAGCAGCCTGTAGATAGGAATAGACTGAATGGAACTGAGAGAAAAAGGATGACACAGGGACAGAAGAGGCTCCATATTAGTTGTCTGCAAAAGACTGTTGGAACCTGAGTCAGGGAAAAGGTATAATACTATTACTATTGCTACATCTGCCCTTGCCCTAGACCAACCATAGGCTAAAGATGCTAGGATGATATAGGGCATTGTGTAGGTTATAGAGAGGGTAGGGTAGTACCAAAAAAAAAAGAGAAGTAAATCCTAAATTGCTATAGTTGGAAGAGGTAAGGAGTTGTATAATTTGTGCTTGACTGGAACAGTTATTTGGAGGTGGTTAAGCAGCATGAATATACAGAAATCAAACACACATTGGGCATTCCTAAGTTAGGGATCCCTATAATTTAGATGACTCTGCCTACACTTCCATTTTCTTCCTTCTCTCTTATTATTTTTAACTATAACTACTCTAAATCGACTGATTTGTTTCTCAAGGCAACAGCCTACAGTTACATTCCTAACTTAAATCAGCAAACCAATCCCCTGTTCTTACTGTATTCTGAAATTCGCTTCCCACAAATACAAAGGGTCTGGTGACACTGAATAAGCAATACCTAAAATATGCCTCTAAAATCCTTTTCCAAAGCCCCCAATAAATAGCAATCTCTCTCTCTCTCTCTCTCTTTTTTTTAAATAACTTCAAACCCTGCTGGGAAGTTTCCTATTTCTGAAAAAAAGGAATTTACATGTCAACGATTTTATGCTACCAAATCTATGATTTTTAACACATAAGGGCATGTGACCTAAAAAAAAAGTAGAGGAGGAAAGGGAAAATGAATGGTATTTACAGCATGGTAAATAACTGCATGTCTTTGGAAATAATGGCTCAGGTCACTGTCACCAATAGAAACTTCTTTCAAAATCAGCACTGTGTTCAATAACAAACTATCCTAAACTCAAACCTTTTTATTCTTGAAATTACACAGATATGTATATAATACATATATATAATTACACACACTATATATGCATATATATACATGTATATATTTCTTTCATTGATACTTAAATTACCAACGTTTTCAGATTCATTGTTATCTTCCTATTTAGAAATGTATCAGACTCAAACTTAGATTTTATGGATTATTTCAAAAATGTATGTAAACTGAGATTCTAATGTAGTTTAATCCGCAAATCAAGTATTGGTCTAGCATATGCTTTTCTTTCTTTTTAAAAAAATTTATTTTATTTTTAATTTATGGAATAAAACGAGCATTTCTATAACACAGTACAATAAAAAAGATGATTGCACATGAAATTGCAAATCCACTATATATCACTTGCTATTCCTTTCAAATATACAACAAAATTATCATGTAAATTTCCTCCCCCTCCTCCTCCGAGATAGTATATGCTTTTCTATAGTTAACTTTATTAAGCACAGTTTAGGTGTGCTGTTTTTGTCCCTTTATGGCCCAGAGCTTCAAATTGTGAAAAATAAGTTTTAGAAACTCAGAGTAAGTGGGTTATGAGTTTCTAAAACAAAGTAGCTTTAAACACTGCTACAAATATGTATTTGACTGGCTCTAAGAGAAACCAGTTTAAAAGCTAAATGTAAGGAGCATGTAATACCTCAGTTAGAAACAAGTAAACATTATATTTACATGATGTTATTTTTAGGTTTTTGAAAGGCAAAAAATAAAATAGACTCAGTAACAATATTTAAAATATACATATAATGTAATCCTCAGATGTTACTCCACACCTTAAAATTTTTTTTTCAAATTTTAGTTATTTTTACCCCCTTAGGTAGCCATACTTACCCCCACTGGCATATTCCATTACTAAATACAGTGTCTTCTCTGTTTCAATAACTTCAAATAATTTTACTGAAAAAAAAAAAGGAAATTAGAAATATAATTTCATAATTATCAGGATGAAGTATAGATTCATTTATAGTAATTATTACTTAAAATCAGGACAATAAAATCAAAAATTCACAGAACTCTGAAAATTAGCTATTATATACTATCAACTACATAAAATGTTATATGTTCTTTTCTGATTGAGGAAAAAAAGGAACTAAAATCTCTGCCACCCTGGTTATCATTCCAAAAATTATTTGTACAAAACATATTGGTGGATCAAAATTATACAAACTTTGTTGGATCAAAACTAGCTCCATTAACATTCCTTTTATATGAACATAAATAACCTACCAAGTAAAATTAACACATTTTTTCATGTGTGATAGGCACATGATAAAGCACTAAATGCTATACTTATAAATGGAACTATTCTTTTTAGCCTCATAATTCAAGTTATAAGATTTTTTGTTAAAATCTGTTTCTGAATTTTTTTTTAACTCTTTGAGGTCTCATTTGCATTCTACAGTCTTTAAAATGCTAGAAAAAAATACTCAAGTGATGTTAGCTATAGGTCATTGTCATAATTTCATCACTTTTCTTAGTCTTAAAAACTTATCATTCTAAGATTTTAGTACCAATTTTTGCCAAAATTTTTAGTTGAGGTCAAAAGTAATTAGCATATTAGTAAATGTAAGTAGCCTTCAGATAAACTGATAATCATGAGTTCAGAATTAAATACACAGAAAGGAGAAACAGAATTGCAGATCTCCAAAAGTTAAAACCAGAATGTTAACGAAATACAGAAAAACAAAAAGAAATACTATGTAAACTGCAGCATCACCAATTAATTAAAATAAATTATAAAATCAGATCTGATGCCGTTACCCAGCCATTAACTAAATGGAAACACTTAAAGATGGAACTGATAGGAGCCACAAAAAAAGAGAAGGAACAATGAGAAGAAGAGAATACAAGTCACAGGAAGAATAGAGAGGGGAAGAGAAAGCAATGCAATGCGATAGAAGTAACACTGAATTTGTACTCAGATAACTTGAGTTCAAGTCTTGGCTCTGCTCAGTGTGAACAATAAGGGATTTGAGGGAAGGAAGGAAAGAAGGGGACGAAAAGCAAGATGACTAGCCCACTACGACCAGATTATCTGTTGTAGCTACGATAATAAACTGGCTTTTCTCCCTTCACCACAGTCCTCAGTCTGTCTGGGAAAGAAGGGCACAAGAGATTCTCAGGCTCAAACAGTCTTGACTTCTGCATTCTGAAATAATTTATGTTTAGTACACTGCTTGGTACATAGTAGGCATTTAATATTGATTGATTATGAAGCATGGTTAGGGGTGACTTTTCTAGAATGTATTTTTTACTCCAAGAAAAGGTATCCTTCAGCAATAAACAATACTAACTCTTAGAGAGCTACTTAACTGTAGGATGTGCGAGCTCAAAGAGGCAACATGCTTCATGCAGAAAGACCTTCTAACAACACACAACCTTCTACCAACACCTGAGTGGAGAAGTACAGTGTCCTGCTCCTGCTCTGGGCTAAGCCTGGAGGCAGTGGAGAAGGAAGGCAAGCTCCTTCAAGGTTAAAAAGCAAAACAAAAATAAACACCCAAGGGGTTAAAAGAAGACAGAAGAGGGGGTAAGAGAGGTTGCTTTTTACTGAGTTTCTCTAATATTGATACCGTGAAGCTTACTCAGCATTTTCTGGGACATCTTTAAGGGGAGCATATGGCCACTTCATTGTTACTGAGAGACAGTATTGTGTAATGAAAAGAGAAGGCCTAGGTTTTACCACTTGTACCTCCTAGCTGTGTAAACACTGGCAAAATTGCCTCTCTGAATCTGTTCGTTCATTTGTAAAACGGGAATAATAATACTTATAACTACCTTCTTCACAGATCTGTTGTGAGGAACAAATGGTTTGACATATGTAAAGTACTCTGTAATTTTATAAACGTAGGCTATTTCAATTTTTAGTCATGATTTTTAAAATGTAATTTTAAAAGAAACTATTTTTATAACTATCTTATTTACTTATTAGCCATATCATTTATTTAGAGGCAGCTGACAGAGCAGTGGATAGAACTTAGGAAAGGGCCCTTAGGAAAATGGGTTCAAATCCAGCCTTAGACACATATCATCCAGGTGATGCTGCGCAAGTCACTTAAGTTTTGTTAGCTTCAGTTTCTTCAATTGTAAAGTGGGGATAATAAGAATACTCAAAGAGTGGTTGATATGAGATCATAATTTTTTAAAAGTGCTTAAACATACTATAGGAGCCATATAAATGATTATTCCTTTCCCCTTCCCTATTTAGTAATTACCAAGAAATGAGATACACAGGACAATATATGGCACATGTAACTATAAATGTGTTTGGATTTAAATGGTCATATCTATCTTTTGATCCATCCATCTATCTATACATCCATCTATTCATACATCTATTAATCTATCTCAGTAATCATACTGAGACTTCTTTGAGGATAGAGATTATGTAATACAGATATTTCTTTCTAACCCTTACAGAACAAGTACAAAGAAGGTACTGAATAAATAAATATTTGACAACTATTTATGAATTTAGTGATTTTACAAGATGTTTCATTTTCTAGGCTCCCCTTAAGTTTGTATCAATCTTAACATGAGTATGAACAGATTAAAATTTCTTACATTAAAGATTCAAATAGTTATAAAGTCTACTATAAAGGAATTTCACATATTAATAATTTTCTATTAAACCTGAGCTGTTGACAGGAATTACTAATGACTGAGACCAAAATACATGGAATTACAAAGAATTAAAAAGATATTTTGAGAATTCCTTTTATTAGGAATAGCTATAAGTCATAAAATCTCAATTTTAAGAGATTTAACTAAGAGATACAAAAGGTATATTAAGTAGACTCTGATCTCTAATCACATTCACTATTTTTATAGTTATCGAATATTCCATTTACCTACTTACCAGCAGTTTCCTTTTTTTAACAAACACTTCATTTTCTAAATTGTCTACAATCACCTTTTCTTTCTGATTACCTATACCTATCTCTAAATGCTATCTCCTTTCCCTAATAGAAATCTTATTATACATCTATACAGTAATAAAATACATACCTATATTGGGATGATTCAATATCTTCATTATTCGTACTTCTCGAAATAACTGTCAAAGAAAGTAATTATTTAAACATATTTTTTGGTAAAAGTTTTAAATATAATCTCATTTGAATAAAAGGGGCTACATAGACATAATCACGTACAATTGGAAGAGACTAGTTTACAACCTATTCCAATATCACAGTACTGAACTAGGTATCAAGAGTCCTAAGTTTTCGTTCCATAATTGTTACTAATTACTCAAACAACTTTGAGCAAATCATTTAAATTTTCTAAAACTGAGTTTTCTCATCTGCAAAATGAAGATGGATGAGATGACTTTTAAGATCTCTTTCAGAGTTGACAATTTATGATTCAATATGTACATATATTCTATATTTTTTAATTCAGGACTTTATGGATACATGATTTAATTTGGAAAGGCATTTCTAATACCAATACAAACTTCTCACCTTAGTGGAAGATTAATGAATTGCAACTGACAAAAAAAAAGCCATAACTTTGATATCCAACTTTCTGGCGATAAGCCACCCTGTACTGATGCCTTTCTGGTTGGTTAGGATTTGCTTCATCTTACAGATTTTTCATTCCAAGATCTACAACACAAGTAATAATGGAACATGCTTCTAGGCTTCCCAAAACATTCTTGTCAACCATAAAGTAAAAATTGTTGATAACTCCATTTCTCTTTAAATTCAATTTTATTTTATTTTTTAGTTTCAAGTGTTCTCCTTACCATATCCCCCTTTCTTTTCCATCAAAAAAGCAAAAAAAAAAAACAAACTCATTACAAATATTTATAGTGAAGCAAAGCAAATTCTGACATGAGACTTTTTTTTTTTTAAAAAGTTCAATTCTGCATTCTAAGTCCATCACTTCTCTTATGTGAGGGTGGATATCATGTTTCATCATGAGTCCTTTGAAACTGACGGTTTTATTATGTTGATCAGAGTTCCTAAGTCTTTCAAAATTACTTGCTTCTACAGTGTTACTGTTGTATAAATTATTCTCCCGGTTCTACACACTTCAGTTTGTGTCAGTTCATACAATTCTTTTTTCTAAAACCATCCCCTTCATTATTTCTTTTTTATGTGAATATATATATTGCAAATTACATGTAAGAACAATTTTCACTTCTTTTTTAAAATTTTGAGTTCTAAATGCTCTCCCTCCTTTGTCTTTCCATTCACTGAGATGGAAAACAATTAGATATAGATTTTATATATATATACAGTCATGAAAAACATTTCCATATTAGCCATGTTGCAAAAGAAAACATAAGCCAAAATATAGTTTAAAAAAATATTCTTTGATTTGCATTCAGACTCTATCAGTTCTTTCTCCAGAGGCTGGATAGCATTTTTCATCACAAATCCTTCAGAACTGTCTTAGATCATTATATTGCTGAGAATAGCTAAGTTATTCATAGTTGATCATCACACAATATTGCTGTTACTATGTAAAATGTCCTGTGTTTCTGCTCACTTCACTTTTGCATCATTTCATGTTAACTCTTTCCAGGTTTTTCTGAAAGTATCCTGCTCTTCATTTCTTACAGCATAATAGTATTCCATCACAGCCCTACACCACAATGTGTTCATCCATTCCCCAACTGATGAATATTCCCTTAATTCCCAATTCTTTGCCATCAGAAAAAGACTTATAAATATTTCTGTACAAATTGGTCCTTATCCTTTTCTTTGGTCTCTTTGGGATACAGACCTTGCAGTGGTATTGCTAGGTCAAAGGCTGCACACAGTTTTATAGCCCTTTGGACATGGTTCCACGTTGCCTCCAGAATGGGTCTATCAAACACTAGACTACTATGGTAATTTATCACTATCTGTTATGTATCTAATCTGTTCCATTGATCCACTACTCCATTTCTTAGACTGTACCAGATTGTTTTGATAATTACTGCTTTGGTACCAACTTCCTCCACATTTTTTTTCCATTGAGCTTCTAGATATTCTTGACCATTTGTTCTAGATGGACATTATTAGTTTTTTTCTAGTTCTATAAAACAACTTTTTTGGTAGTTTGGCATGGCAATGGATAAGTAAATTAGTTTAGGTAGAACTGACATTTTTATTATGTTGGCTCAGCTATCCATGAGCAATTAATACTCCTCCAGTGGTTTAGATCTGTATTTATTCGTGTGACAAGTGTTTTGTATATAGTTGTTGGGTTTGTCTCAGCAGAAAGACTCTTAAGCATTTTATATTGTCTACAGTTATTTCAAATGGGATGTTTCTACTGTTGCTGAACTTTATTAGTAATACATACAAATACTGGTGATTTATGTGGGTTTATTCCATATCCTGCAACTTCGCTGAATTTAAGTATTTTAAATAGCTTTTTAGTTGATTCTCAAGGATTCTCTAAGTATACTTTTTTGCTTTCTCGTTGCCTAGTCTAATTCCTTCAATTTCTTTTTCTTCTCTTATTTTGATAGTTAGCATTAATAGTACTATGTGGAATAATAGTAGCGATAATAGGCATCCTTGTATTCAGAAGGCTTCTGGCTTATCCCCATTATAGGTAGTGTGTGCTGATGGTTTTAGACAGATACAACTTTTCACTGTAAGGAAAGCTCAATTTATTCCTGTACTTTCTAATGTTTTTAATAGGAATGAGTGTTGTACTTTGTCAAAAGCCTTTTCTGCATCCATAAAGATAATCATATGACTTTTGTGGGTTTGTTATTGATATAGACAATATGCTGATAGTTTTTGTTGTTGGTTTTTTTTTTTTTTTAATAATGAAACAACTCTGTATTCTTGGTATAAATCCCACCTGGTCAAACTGTACAATCTTTGTGATATATTGCTGAAAAAGCCTTGCTAGTGTTTTATTTGAAAATTTTGCATCAATATTCATTAGAGAAATTGGTTTGCTGTTTTCTTTCTCTGCTTTTGCTCTTCCTGGTTTAGGTATCAGCATCATATTTTTATCACAAAAGGAATTGTCAGGATTCCTTCTTTGCCTATTTTTCCAGTTTATATAGTATTCAAATTAATTGTTCTTTAAGCGTTAGGTAGAATTCACTTGTGAATCTATCTAATCCTGGTGATTTTTTTTTAGAGTTCATTGAAGACTTGTTTAATTTCTTTTTCTAGATACAGTTAAGGGGCAGTTAGGTGGTGCAGTAGATGGAACACCGGCCCTGGAGTCAGGAGGACCTGAATTCAAATGCGGTCTCAGACACATAATACTCACTAGCTGTGTGACTCTGGACAAGTCACTTAACCCCAACTGCCTAACCCCCCCGCCCCCAAAAAAGATAGTTAATCTAAGCAATTTATATTGTTGTAAATATTCATCCACTTCACTTAGATTGTTAGATTTACTGACATGTAATTGGGCAACACAGTTTCTAATTGCTTTAATTCCATCTTCATTGGTGGTACATTCACTCTTTTCATTTTTGATACAGGATCTCCAATTTGGCATTTAATGGGGGATTTTTAATTTGTTCTTTTTAACCTTGGGCAAGTCACTTAACCCCGATTGCCTCACTAAAAAAAAAAAAAAAAAGATCTTCAGGGAAAAAAAAAAAAAGAAAAGACGCCGTAGACACTAACGCACATGTCCCAAAGGCCTGCTGCTGGCTTGCTGCAGCACAGTACTGCGCTCCACTCTCACCCCAGTGAGACAGACTTTTCCTGCTGACCTTCTAAGTCATCTTGGGCTGGAAAACTGTTTCATCCTAACGTTTGGTTATGTCGCTTCAGAATTCATTTTGATATATTATTTTAATGTTGTTTGGAAGGGAATTTGGGAGAGCTCAGGTGAGTCCCTGCCTTTACTCTACCCAAGGACATTGCCTCATCCCTTTCATCATTTCTTATAGCATAATAGTATTACACTATATACATATACCATAACTTTGCCAGCCCAATTGATGAACACTCCCTCAGTTTATAATTCTTTGACACCATGAAAAGAGGTGCTATATGGATCCATTTCCTCTTTCTTTGAAATTATTGGGGTATAAGCCTGTAAGAGGTATCAGAACAGTAGGGAATGTACAATTTAATAACAGATTTTTGGGCATAGTTTCAAACAGCTTTACACAATGGCTGGATCAGTTCACAGCTCTACCAACCATGCATTAATGTACATGTTTCCCCATAGCCCCTCTGTTTCTCATTTTCCCTTTTTTCCAACTTTGTCAATCTGGTAAGTGTAAAGTGGCACTTGAAAGTTGTTTTAATTTGCATTTATGTATTTATTACTATGATGGAGAAGTTATTCATGTAGCTATTTATAATCTGAATTTCTTTCTCTGAAAAATATAATTTATATCCTTCGATCAATATCAGGTAGGGAATGGTGTATTCTTATAAATCTGAACCAGTTCCCTGTTTACTTTAGAAATAAGATCCTGAATAGAGGAACTTGATATGAAGATTTTTTAAATTTCCCATTCCTATTCTAATTTGAGCTATACTGGACTTTTTTGTGCAAAAACTTTTAAGTTTTATGTAATCAAAATTGCCCATTTTACCTTCTTTGAACCTCTCCTCACTTGATCATGAAATCTTCCCCTATCTGTGGATGTGACAAGTAATTTCTTCCAAGCTTCTCTAAATTGTTGAGGATATCACCATTTATGGCTCAATTATGTTCCCATTTGGAGCTTTTCTTGCTATATGTAGTGAAATATTGGTCTATACCTGGTTTCTGCTAGTCTTCTACTTTTCCCAAAAGTATTTGTCAAATGAAATCTGTCACAACAAATGGGATTTGGGGGGTTATGAAATACTACTATACTGGCTTGCTTCTGTATGTTGTAAAACTAATCTGACTGAACTCTCTATTTCTTACCCAGTAGCAAACTGTTTAAATGGCTATGGCTTTGCAGCATAGTTTGACATCTAATGATGCGCGTGCCTTTCCTCCTCACTTTTTTTTTATTTAATTCCTTTGATATTCCTGATCTTTTGCTCTTCCAGATGAATTTATAATTTACTGTATTATGGTCAGTAAAAGATATATTTAATATTGTTGCTTTTCTGCATTTGTTTATGAGGTTTTCATGCC